CCTTTTTTTTTTTATCCCCCCCCCCATGGTGGTTGTAAACACCCCTTTTTTTTTTTTTTTTTTTTTTTTTTTTTTTACCAAGAGAGGCAGAAATCCCAGGAGAGAACTAGATAGAGGAAGAAAAAGAGAAAGAGAAACAGGATTGAGGGAGAGAGAAAAAAGGAATGGGCTTTTGGAGCCCATACTAAAAGTCTGTACTCACAAGTCTTTGAATTTGGGTTAAAAAGGTCCACTAGCTGGACAAGACAGCTCTCAAAGCCCAGAGCCTACTAGTGAGGTAGGTGGGCTGTATGATCCTGTACACAGGAACCCCTCAGCCCCAAAGGAAAGCAGTGGCAGAACACGATTTTGATTTTGATTCACTTCTTGGAAATGCTGATCAGATCCCCAGGTATAAAGCAGTTGATGTAGGTGATATGGAGGGAGGCTAGGGAAGGGGACATTGGGACACTATAGCCAAGTCCCTACTCTAGGCAGTGTAGACACAGCTCAAAGTCTAAGATACCAGATGTTCTCATATCTGTAGATCCCACTTCCTTCCCAAACAAGACAGCAGACATTTAAACTATCACCTTCGAGGAGAAAAGGCAGGAGCTGTTTCCCCAGGAGGCCAAAGTAACTCGCAGTTCAGTTTGACCCATGAAAAACTTGGTCAGCTCAATCCTTGACACCCAATAAAGAAAAAAATTAACCAGTTTAGACCAGGTAAATACTTTTTAAACTGATTTTTCAAGGGTTGTATTGTTTAAACATCATTAGACATTTGGAGTTGGAGTTTAGGGAGCCAAAACTGGTTAGGTAATTGTGAGAGTTTATAGGAAGTGAAGGTTTTGTTTTTTTTTTTAAATCAGTAATACCCTGTTAATTCAGAAACTGAAACCCACCTTTACCCCCACTTTGCTAACAGAAAGGAGTGTTTTCAAGCCTAGATGTATCAAATGGCCCATTTATATTTTGAATCATACTGTGTCATTATGTGAAGAGTCAGGAGACTCTGAATTTAAAAACTGGTTCTACCATTTATTTTACTCAAGCCTCTGATTTTTTTATTTTGTAAAATATGTTTAATAAAATATTTTTGAAGAAATGTTCTGAGGATTAAAAAAAAACCAACAACAACTCCTGGTATTACTACTTAACCCTCATTTTTTTTTCTTGCACCAGAATCATCTATCTCAACTCATGGTTACATCTATAAAAGTAAAACAAATTGAAGAACATGGTCTTTAAAATGTTATCTTGTATACCCCGAAAAACCCTTTTTAACCTGATAGATCTCATCTGATAAAGTGAGGTTGCTTTGCTTTTCAGATTTAAAAAAAAAACAACAAAACAAACAAAAAAAAACTGTGATTTATTTACACAGAGGCAGAGGAAAGTTGAATGGACTTTTTTTTTTTTTTTTTCCTGAAAAATTGTCACCATGAAGGCAGCCTAAGTGGACCACTGGAACCCCTTTCCCTGGGCACTTTATTTTTCCCTGTATTTGGTTGTTGTCTAGACAGGCATGGGTCTCTGAAAGAGAACAGGACTCTGGGACTATAGGGAAGATGTTTGTAGGGTGGGGTGTAAAGAAACATTTCAAGAGAAACTGTCTACCTCCATGCCAGGCCATGTCTAACAATTCCAAAGGACAATAGGAATGAAGGGGAAACCTCAGAGATTCAGTCCCGCTTAGGGTCTACCTGAAGTCTAGCAATTAACATGAAAAAACAATGAGTGCAGGTCCAGCAGGGTTACTCAGATAATCTCCCTGGGCCCAATGTGGCCTTTCACTGCCAAAGGAGCAGTGCTAAGAAGACAGGGATGTGGATGGCATACCTTGTGTTTAATTCCTGTGAAATGCTCAAAGCCTGAAAAAATTGAATTAGTCCTGTCAGAGACCTCAAGGGTAGAGCTTTGAGTGCCTGGAATGAAGTTTCCTTCAGCCTTGGAAGAGAGGAAAAAGAGAGAGCAGAATTTTCTCTTTTTAGTGGGGCCTGGGTATGGCCCTCCTGCCATCAGGGATCTGATTCTTTGCACTGAGGCAGCATCCCTCCTTGGGTGATGTTAGATGGTTTACAACACTAGGCCCTGAGTGACTGATCCCCAAGCATTCTGGCTTCATCTGATAGTGTCTTCTCTAAGTTGGTGCCTCAGATCTCAGTGCAGGGCTAGTGCTCATGGCCTGAGGATCCACTTGATAGCATATGTCCACTGAAGCTGACACTCTGCCTGTCATGCATGCCCTCCTCAAACATGGACAGAAATCCTTATGACAGTGGGGAGATGAACATGGGGTCTAGGCACCCAATTGAGTTAACTACAGAAAGGAGGAATTTTTCTGAAACCGCTGAACTCCTGCAGGCCTGGCAGGCCAGGAAGGGTCCATTCCAAGGGTCCAAGGTTCCTAATAAAGAGCTATATTGGAGACTGAGGCAAAAGGAAAAATCAGTAATATTGACGCTGTTTTTTTTAAATGACATTTTTATCATATTTTTTAAAATCTTTTTGCTTTTGTAAAACATTGCATTAAAAATATCTTGATTACTGAGGTTTTGGAGCCCCTTCCTTTAAAGTGTGTATCTGAAGTGAGACTGGGACCCCAGTGGCTTCACTCTCTTCCTGGCCTTCCTAACGCAGAGGTGCAAAGTATTAGGGCGCTTCATCAAGCAGTACAACCTGGCGGTCCAGTTGAGACTCGGTGCCTGGTCAGGCAGCCTCGCAGCTAGCAGCTCAAGGCCCCTGGACCTTACAGCCGCCCGCCTCACTTGCTCCCGCCTGCCTTCTCTCTTCCCCTAGACGTGGTTCCTCTACAGCCTGAAGTGAGCAGCTACCGGCGTGGACGCAAGAAACGCGTGCCCTACACCAAGGTGCAGCTGAAGGAGCTAGAGAAGGAGTACGCGGCTAGCAAGTTCATCACCAAAGAGAAGCGCCGGCGCATCTCAGCCACCACGAACCTCTCTGAGCGCCAGGTCACCATCTGGTTCCAGAATCGGAGGGTGAAAGAGAAGAAAGTGGTCAGCAAATCGAAAGCGCCTCATCTCCACTCCACCTGACCTTCCACACACGGCCGTCCACCCCATCTATTTATGTCGCCGCTTTGTACCATAACCGACCCACGGAAGGATGCTGCACCGGTGCAGACCAGTATTTAATCTTAAAAAGGAGGAACCGCACGCCGGGGGCAGAGTCTCCCTACTCCCCATTCCATCCCTAATCTCAACCCCCACACCCCCACACCCCGCCCCCGTCCAGACAGCACCCATACCAACTTCCACAGCTATAGAGGTGGTTTCAGGCCAGTTGGCCTCTAACTCCCCTGGCCCTCGTGGCTCCTCCCAGTAGAAAACCGAGTGGCAGAGAGAGCCCAGTCATTCCAACCAAAGCAGGGTTGGGGGCTCCAAATGATTCAGTTTTTGCCTTTCTAAGTCTAGGGTGGATTGTAGAAGACCCTCCTTCTGGGGTGTTGGGCACAGGTGCTGGGGAGCTCGTGATTTCCTTCCAGGCCCTCCTTTTCCCTGTCACTCCCAGCTCGGCACTCCAAAGGATTTCCCAGTTAAGATTTTCTGTGCCTATCCTAAAAAGTCGTTTTAATATTAATGCTAATTATTAAGGCCTGGCAGTGTCACTGGAGTACAGATGGCGCTTGGCACTTGTAGGTTTTCTTTCTTTCCTGTCTCAACAAAAGCTAGAGTTGGTACAGCTCCTAGCCACATTCTAACCTAGACATGATTTCCCAGGAGGTGCCTTTGACCCCAGGGCCTCCTCTGCTTTGCAGTCGCAGTCCTGTGGAAATCCAAATAGGACAAAAACTCCAGCCACAATGCTAAGTGTTGCTCTGTCTCCTCTCTTCCTCATAGTGTGGTTGGAAATTATGCCAGGCTCAGAATCAGAACTTTTATGAAAATAAACTCTCTTCCAAGGAGATGGAGAGAAGGTCCCTCTTCCATCCTGTCTCCATCAAAGCTGTAAGTCAACAGAGACCTCACATTTTCACTTTGACAAATTTCCTGGGCAAAGCTTGAGGAGCTAGCCTAGGAGGCTAATGGCTCTAAGGAAACCACCTACCTGTAGATGCTGCCTAATTTCTCCCTCCTCAAAAGCCAACTAGGTGCTGTGGGGGCCCCCTCACCTCCTCCCTTCCCACTGGCACATTACAAAACAGTGTTCTTTTGAAATGCCCATCAGAAATAGGCTTTTTTTTTTTAAATGTTGTGTATCTGTATATAGTATTGTGATGTCTGGATGATAATGTACTGAATGCAAAGAAGAAAAAACTTACAGACCTGTTTTTAAAATAAAATATCTTTTTTGCCTTGATTTTATTGCTCAGATTGCTTCTGAACTATTTCTCTCCGCTGCCTCTTTAGGACAGGCTACCATGTCCTGACTCAGTCAGACTGGGCAGGGGAAGAATGTACACACCGCCTACTGCTGGGTAAATCGCAAGCTTCCATTTTGGTTTCTCTAAAGTTTTTGAGCTTCTGGGGTTGTATTTACTGTTTAGATAAGAGAAACTCCAAATCTTGACACCCAACTTCGATGAATATATGTTGGGAGAGAGAAAGATGTGATCCGCTATTGAAAAAGCCTATAAGTAGGTAAGTGAGAAAAGTCCATTGCTGGCTAATTTGTAGCTTGATGATAGAGCATTTCCCTACCATGTGCAAGGTTTGCACCCTCACAAAGAGAAAACAAATTGGGTCTAGTTCTGGGGTGTTGGGAATGTGGGATCTCAGTGGGGACATTATAGGAAGGGGTACAGCAGCAGCAAAGGTGGTAGATAGCTAATCTTAGGCTCCTGTGGTCCTATTGACCAAGAGGTTCCCAGACTTCTCCAGCCAGCTCCAGATGGGGTTGAGGTTGAGGTGGTCTTTGTAGACTGACAGGGATTACACGTAGCCCAGCTTTCCCTCCGTGGCTGCCCTCTTGTTTCTTTGTCCCATCAGCCTAAATAGAGAGGTCTGAATGCTGGGACCCCTTGAGCCCCAAGTATGTCAAGCCAGCTCCACTTTTACTCTCTAGAATTCCTGAGAACCCTAGTCTTCCAGGAGATCTGAAGCCTGTGTAGACTCTGCCACTAATTTGTTTCCCTTGTCGCATCTGTGCCTATCTCCCTATCTGGTGGAGTTAATGAGATCATTAAGTTGTCAGGTTAAGAGACTTTTAAAAAGCAATCCAGCCCAAAACAATGTTCTCTCAGATTAAATCTTTACTGCAGCAATTTTTTTTTTTTTTTGGTCTTTTTGAGACAGGGTCTCCCTGTAGCCCCAGCTGTCCTGGAACTCACTATGTAGACCAGGCTGGCCTTGAACTCACAGAGATCCACTTGCCTCTGCCTCCTGAGTGCTGGGATTAAAGGCGTGCGCCACCACACTCAGCCTACTGCAGCATTTTTTTATTTATATATATTTTTCCTCTCCAGAGACACAAAAAGACTGGAGGCATCAGATTGGAAATCAGTTCCCTGGCTTCCCTTTGCCTGATGGGAGCTGAAGCTTTTATATTTTCATTTAAATAAATGTTTCTGGGGGGAAAAGCATCACACACACACACACACACACACACACACACACACACACACGAGTCAGAGAGACAAAGAGCCTGAAGAATTTGTACTCTTTGGAGCCTCCGCTAGCTGAGGTGAGCTGAGCTGACTGCAGACAGCCACACACTGGGTGGTAGGAATTTGAAAGGAAATAGGTGAATCCCCAGGAACAAAAGTCACTCTTTAATTCCATCTCCCTTTCTTCTACTCCACCCACAACCTCAGCTTCTCTTCAAAAACTCTCCTGAGACAGAGTTTAAGCCTGTGTCTTAAGTCAGAGAAAGGAAGCAATGGAGGAAAGACTTAGGGCTCTTTTGAGGCCCCTCAGACCTCTTGACCATCTGGGGTACTCCCATAACACTTGTAGACACAATGAAAGTTGAGGACTTGGTAAGGAAGGAGAACTTTAGAATTCTCTGAGGGGAGCCTCCATTTCTACACACAAACCTACACTTAATCAAAGGGTCAAGTTGTAGCTGGTGAGGAGGCACATCTGTAATCCAGCTCCACCTCAGAGACTGAGGCAGGAGGAACAATTGAACCTAGGAGGTCAGGGCCCACTTCAGCAACATATCTAGATGAACTTTTCACACAGAAAGAAAATCTTCCATGTGGAATGACGCACCCTAAGCTACCAGAAGCAGGTGATTGAAAAGAGCAGAAACTTCTGCCTGCTCCTGAGGAAACACTGAGACACTGGTAAGGCAAGCAGCTCTACTGAGTGTCTGTGAGCCACAGTGTGCCAGGGTCTTTAGGATTGAAAGCATTCAATTAAATATATCTGACTGATTTTTGAGGATTATCAAACATGGATTAAGTTTGGAGATACATTGACAATTAGAATAAAACACAGTGTGAGGCTGTGTGGGCTTGTGTTCTAGGGAGGCAAAGTTGGGAAATATATTATTTCCCTGATTCTATTGGCTCTTTCATTCTCCCAAGAGATAACACACATTGGGGATGCTGTGAGATTCTTATGAAGGTAGTGTGTGTGTGTGTGTGTGTGTGTGTGTGTGTGGCCTTTGAGCAGTGGGGAATGGCCTGCCTGCATGTATGTGAATTTTGTTAGTACACACCCTCCTCTCAAGATGTAGAGTATGTTTTGTCTTTATTTACACTTATCAAAAAACCTTCCTCTTCTAAGACAATCTAAGATTTAGAAGAAGTAAGGCTACACTTGAAGGCAAATATGAAGGCACAGGGGCATGGGGGTGGCAAAGGGCTGGGAAACAGAAGCTCCAGATATCTATAATTATTTGCACTCCCAGCTTCTCCAACCCCTAAGGGCAGGGTCTGGAGTGCCTAGGAGAGCTGGGGCTTCACAGTACTTTTCGTTGGGGGTCACTCCCCCAGGATACCAGGGAGGGTTCAGGGAAATTCAGAGAGTTACAGAAGAAAGCCCTTCCCCGCCTACATTATTCCAATATAGAGCCAGAAGGATGGGCCTTCCAGTCAGAAGCCCAAGAAACCATAAACCCACCTGAGGAAATAAGGCCAGCCACTTCAGTAGATCTCTCCATGACTTCTCCTGAGACCATTTTCTCCTGCCTTTGATCCACGGGCAGCTAGGTCTGCAGTGGAGATGAAGTGGTGTGTTACAGATCATGTAGATGTCAACACCGCCACCTTTGTAAAAAGCCCTCTTATTAAAGCTAGGGTTCTTGCAGCAGCCAGCTCTGCACCTCCATCCTAAGAATTTCCCGAACAGGACCTGCCAGAGTCCTTGCATGCTATCAGAGCCCACCCTCAAGAAAACTCCAAGAACAGATGTGTATCTAGACCTACAGTGGAGGGCTGAGGTGCCCTGGGGAGCGAGGGGCTTCTGGAAAGAGGAGGAGGGGGCCAGAGTTTTTCAACCAACCAGACTCTTCCTCTTTTAGCCTTGACCGTGACTAGGTCTTTCTGACCTTGACATCACAGGAACACAGAGAAAGGGGGGGTGAGGTGGAGGGGGGGTGGAAAAGGCCTTGATCTTCTGGTGGCCAGAAAAAGGGTGGGCCGCTTGTCCCCTAGATGCACCATCCCTCTTCCCACAGCCCTCTGGAACCCTCTGCCTCTGTTTACACACAGAGGAGGTGTCCTCTCCAGTCTAGACAGGGGCGCTAATAACGTCCATAAAAGGGCCTCTCCAGAGATGCTCTGGCAACTCAGCTCTGGTTCCACCGCTGCTCCCTCTGCCTCTCCCTCCCCGCCCCTCAGATACTTTGGCTGAGCCCGAGGGCAGCCTTGGGGGTAGGGTGGGGAGATCCAGAAGTTTTCTAGAGGCTGATAACCCCATCCTTTGCCCTTCTGAACCTCTTCAGTCTTCAAAGGTAAGCAGACCCCTGTACCCCCAGTTCAGCCAAGTCTGGAGGCTAGCAGAACATCCTTTAACCCCCAGGAAACTCCTGAGCCAGTTGCTCCCACCCAAAACCTGCCCCTCACTCAGGCCTGGGACACTGGGTTTGTACACTGCTGGGTAACTGTGCTTGGCAGATCCCAGGCTTATATCAGGCCCTCTCCAGGACTGGGCCTAACCAGTCCTACTATCTATTACTTACACTGTAATCTTCAAAGGGAGAAGGCTCAGGAAGAAGGTACTCCGGGGTAGTGCTCAGCTTTAACATGTTGGAGACCCAGCCCTGGGCTTTAGACTGGTTACA